TCTCCTTAAGGGAAATATAATATTCTGCTTTTTCAATATTTCCTAAAATATTTCATTCTTCTAGGTAAGGGGTGGGTGCTAACTTTCTACAACAGATAAGAGGCAGCTAAACTAGGGGTCTAGCAGATGTCTTAGAAGGACCCCTCTGATTTTCTTGGACTGTAAAGTTTTGTTGTTGTTGTTAGTTGCAAAGTCGTGTCTGACCCATCGTGACCCCATGGACAACGTCCCTCCAGGCCTTCCTGTCCTCTACCATCCCCTGGAGTCCATTTAAGATCACACTGATTGCTTCAGTGACTCCATCCAGCCACCTCGTTCTCTGCCGTCCCCTTCTTCTTTTGCCCTCGATCTTTCCCAGCTCTTCTCCAGAGAGTCCTTTCTTCTCATTAGGTGGCCAAAGAATTTCAGTTTCATCTTCAGGATCTGGCCTTCTAAAGAGCAGTCAGGGTTGATCTCCTCTAGGACTGACCGGTTGGATCGCCTTGCAGTCCAAGGGGCTCGCAGGAGTCTTCTCCAACACCAGAGTTCAAAGGCCTCCATTCTGTGGCACTCAGCCTTCCTTATGGTCCAACTTTCACAGCCATACATTGCAACTGGGAAAACCATTGCCTTGACTATATGCACTTTTGTTGGCAAGGTGATGTCTTTCTTTTTTTTTTAGTATGCTACAGCTAAGTTAGGGGTCTAGCAAATGTCTCAGAAGGACTCTTCTGAGTTTCTTGGACTGTAAAGTCGGGGGAAGAAGTAGCATTTTTTTTTAAGATTTGCAAGAGTCTGTTAACGTAACCTTACAATAAAGGTAACATTAGTCATCATTATTGGTGCTTGCACAACCTCTAAGTCTGCCGACTTGTAATGTGGATGCTATATTTAATTCTTGGGATGATTTCAAAATCACCAAAGTGGATTTCATGTACCGGTTCGAAATTAAGACCATCTTATTTCCTCCCGTAACAAAATCATTGTTGATTTTGACACAGAGTAATCCATCGTGATTTATTCCCCTCTCTCGTGTCCAGGAATTTGTATGAAATATTGCCACACCGTATGCCACAGATATTACGGGCAAGGGCGAATGTGTTCCTTTCAAATGGTTCCTATTAATCTGTTCCCAAAGTTGTTGACAGCCTTTTGCTGAATTTCTCTTCCAGACATACTTGGAAGATCTGGCTTGTGTTCTCAGACTGGTTGGAAGGGCAAAGTTAATTTCTCTCTTTTCTTCCAATCTTATCTGAAGGACTTGGAAGCGGTGGAAGGAAAGGATTGCCTAAATTATCCGTAACGTGGCACAAAGGATTTCCTTCACCTCTTGAACGTAATCCTTGAGGGTCTTAGCAGTGAGGCCATAAAAGGTTCTGTTCGGAACTAGCAGATAAGCCAAAGGGATTGTTCCTCAGTTGATTTTTTTTTCCCCTGTTGAAACAGACGGTGTGGATCATTGGTTAATCTTAGAGGAGGGAGACTGTTCAAACTTCTATGCCACTGAAAAAAGTGATTTAGGACCAGGAGTGGGCTTCAAAAATTTTAGCAAGGGGTTCTCTGCCTGGTTGCTGGTTGGACATGGCCATGGTGGGTGTGGCCTAGTCGGCCTCCTGCACCACGGCGGGGTGTGTGTGTGTGTTTTTGCCCTCCCCAGGCTCCGGAGGCTTTTCTTGAGCTTCCGGGAGGGCAAAAACAGCCTTCCCAGGCTCCGGAGGCCTTCTGGAGGCCGGAAACGGGCCTGTGTTCAGAGGATCCTGGGACATTGTAACCATCATAAATATGAGTCAGTCGCTAAGCATCCGATTTTTGACCATGTGACTATGTGGATGCTGCAACGGTCGTAAGTGTGAAACAAGTCACTTTTCTCAGTCCCGTTGCAACTCTGAACAGTCACTAAGTGAACAGGTCATAATCCAGACAGGTTTGTGTTCAGGAGTAATGAAAAGTAAGGGTAAGGAGAGCTAGTAATACCAAAGGTATTATTACGGAATGCAATGGATGCAAATTACATAATTCGTACCATTGACAACAATGTGGGCACGATGCCAAGTGCTTGTCTCATCCTTTTGTAGCTCTTGACATGTTACTCACAATCAAATAACCCTCAAATGGATATAAATCATATATTCCTGCTTTAAGATTATACAATTTTTTCCTTAAGGAATACTGAAAAGTAGAACTTGACTCCCTTAAATTTTTTATTTTGTTTATTTATATCCTGCCTTGATTGTTTTATAAATAACTCTAGTGATGACCATACTTAATGCTATTTCCTTCTCCTATTTTCCAATGGCAACAACCCTGTGAAGTGAATTGGTTCTGAGAGGGCGGGACTGGCCCAAATTCTCCCAGCTGGCTTTCTAGCCTAAAATGGGACTAGAACTCACCATCCCTGTTGTGGTTCCATTGCCTGGGCCTGGGCTATCGACAGATGCAGACTCTGAGAGTGAGGGAGAGGAGTTGGCAAGGCCTCCCTCTCCAGGATCCTCCTCTCTGGCAATGTCTCCGGAGGACACCGAAGGCCAAGAGATAGGCCCAGAGCCAAGCACGTCCCCGCAGCCACAGGTGGACAGCGACGAAGGAGATAAGTGCTGGCTGGACCCTTGGCAGAGGCGCAGGGAGAAGCGTGCACAGCAGAGGGGAAGGTGTGCCAGAGATTAGCTGAGTCACTGGACCACACCCCACAGGGTATAAATGTGGGTGTGGTGGCCAGTTCAGTTTGTGACGAGCAAAAACTAGAAATAATCCATGATCTCTGCGTTACTGGACTTCTGCCTGCCTTGTCGGACTGCATTTGGACTAATCCTTGTATTGTGGAAACTTTGCCTGCTTTATCGGAATGCTTGCAGTCTAATCTTTGTTTTGTGTGAGTAAAGTCTGAATTGGCAGCTAGCCACTGGGTTGCTGCCAGCTCTATCTTCAAAGATTTTGTCGTGTGGCTTATTAACTCCGGGCCGTCTGTGTGGGTGCGTGTGTGGGATGGGGACAAAACAATTCCCTGGTTTCTAATCTGGTGCCTTAACTAGACCAAACTCGCTTTCTTTGGCACTAGACCAAACTTTTGACTCATTGCAGACAAGGTGGGATTTTGATTAAATGGTAGATAAACTGAGTAGATTATTACTTTTTGCCTTTCCAGCCTGAGGGCAGAAAGTAAACATATTAACCAGATTAGTTTGCTGACTTCATTTGTACTGTTTCCTTTTATTCCATGATCTTTTGCAAACCAATTGGATATGAATAGACCATCCAAATAGCATGAACTGCCCTGATATCAAACACATGTAGGTCTTTCAAGAAATCATCCTTTCCTTCTTTTGACATATACTGCAATCTAAGAAAAGGCTACACAGGTTTTCAGATTATTATGCTCGGAATGGGACTGTTGTGACCGAGGCCCAAATAGTGATTACCAAACACAATTCAGTCCTGAACAAACTTATTTTATTAAAACAGCTGAGAATTAATTCATTCTCAGCTTAGTCCAAAACAAATTCTTCATAACCAGTCCGTCGGCCTTATCACCAACCTTTGATGTCTTTGGCAACCTGCCAAAGGCTTTTCTTGGCACAAAACCCCCCCACAAAGTTCAAGAGACGCTGACAAGAAGCACGGGAATCAACATTGCTTTTCTACAAAGAACCCAACAGCTCGTTGCTGCTCTTTTAAGCCTTATGGGAGGGGCCAATCATCTTCTGGCCTTACTCCTGAGTTGTCCTTTTTTCTTCAGCTGCTCTTGCCTTCTGGGAGCTCTTCACATGCGTGTACTAGGAACAGGCTCCTCCTGTTCCTCTGCCTCTCTGCTGTCCGCCTCTAGAGGCTACGGAGTCCGCGCATCACTCCCAGATGGCCCTGGCCCCATCTCTGCCTCCGACGCAGTGCCCTCCTCTGAGCCTTCCCCAGACTCCAGGACTGGCCCATTGTCCTCCCCAGCCTCCTCACTGTCCGACTCCTCTGCCAGCTCCATAGGCTGCTGGCGGACCACAACAGGGACAACTCGCCACAGCCAACTCTCTGCGGTGCAACTCGCCAGGGCCAACCTGCCATGGGACAACTTATTGTGGGGCAATTCAACCATTCGGTGTAATTATTTAAACTAATTTAAAAATTGTTTTAAGTTTTGTCATTCACATTTCATTTTGTCCCTCCTTTGGCATCCTTTCTTTAATGATTCTATTCCATTATTTCTTCAATAGTAGTGTTAACCAGGGGTAAAATACAGCAGGTTCTGACAGGTTCTGGAGAACCGGTAGTAGAAATTTTGAGTAGTTTGGAGAACCAGTAGCGGAAATTTTGAGTAGTTTGGAGAACCGGTAGCGGAAATTTTGAGTAGTTCAGAGAACCAGCAAATACCACCCCTGGCTGGTCCAGACTAGGGTGGGAACGGAGATTTTGCAATATCCTTCCCCCAGGAGTGGAGAGGGAATGGGGATTTTGCAGTATTTTTCCCCTGGAGTGGGGTAGGAATGGAGATTTTGCAGTATCCTTCCCCTGCAATGCCCACCAAGCCACACCCACAGAACCAGTAGTAAAAAATTTGGATTTCACCACTGGTGTTAACTCTTGTCCTGTGGCAAGTTGGCCATGGTCAGTTGGCCATGGTGACTTGTCGTAGACCTTATTATGCTTGCCTGCTTGGTTGTGTGAACTCATTTGGCCTGGATGCGAGGATGTCCTGGCCTCCAGGTAAACAAACTGCTTCTGGTCAATGATAGGTCTTCTCCATTATTTCGGCAGCACAGTGGTTAGAGTGCAATATTGCAGACTACTTCTGCTGACTGCCTGCTGACTGCAATTTGGCAGTTCAAATCTCACCAGGCTCAAGGTTGACTCAGCCTTCCATCCTTCCGAGGTGGGTCAAATGAGGGCCCAGATTGTTGGGGGCAAGAGGCTGACTCTGTAAACCGCTTAGAGAGGGCTGTAAAGCACTGTGAAGTGGAATATAAGTCTAATGCTATTATTGCTATTTCCTTAGTGGCGGAATCTTAACAATTGTCGTATTCTTCTTTCTCTTCCAGGACATCAGCAAGCAGAAGAAATCATAAATACTGGGCTTATTCTGTGAATTGCAAAGGCACTGAGTCACATCTCTTTAGCTGCAAAATGGGTGATCGGATCATGACATTCGGTGGGAACATTACCTGTGAGAATGGGATGCCTGCAGTGGTAAGCTGCAGCCCTGGACTAGCGTTTACCCCAGGCAGCCACAGTGGCTTCGGCAAAGCTTTCCGTGCTCAGGTAAGTGGAAGAACTTCTCCTTGGTCTGATAGGGAACTTGAATTTGCTATGGAACATATTGCTAGCGGTGAACTGTTCAAACAAACTTTAGGATCACTTCCAAGCTTGAGCAGCTTGATATTAAGGAAACTGTAGCCCTGATTCCCTTTCACCATTTCATTGCATCAACCTGGATCCAATGCTTGACAATGCATGTGAAGTATTCCTTATTTATCATATTCATTTCCCATCTTTTCTCCAAGAAGAGCAGCTATATTCATGGTTCTTCCTAATTTATCTTCTTAAAGACCTGCGAAATGAAGTTGATTGGAAGACATAAAATCACACCCAATGAGCTTCATGGCATAGTAGGGATTTGAACATAATGTTTTGTTGGAATACATGTTAGAATGTATTTTGTTTTGCAACAACTACAGAATTATTTTAGCCAATAGATGGCAGCATTTAGTGTGCATCTATGGTTATAATCTATGGTTTTTTTATGTTCTGAGGAGAGTTTCCTGTTTCCTGTTACCGTAATATAGTTGAGCAGTAAAGCACATGGTGACTGTACTCTTTGTTTGATCTGTGGTGCTTTATATGAAACAATTTCTAATATGTTAGATCTTAGCAAAACACTAACTGATCTTAGCAAGATGGTTTAACCCACTTTTCCACAACTTAAGTATCCTACAGTTCATTTCCCAAAATTTTCAGCAGTGGTGATGTTCATTCTAATTAGGGAAAACTGTTAGGATCATTAAATTAACCATGGTGCTTTATTTGTCTTTAGCAGATTGCTTTCTAAGTTATTCTTCTTGTGATTAAGGGTTGAGGTAGGGTGAAGGCCTCTCTCTGGTCAATCTGTTGAGACAGAGCAATGCAAGATGATATCACAACCAGAATCGCTCAAGCTTCTGAGTTGCTTCCAAGAAATTCTTGTGTTGATACCATAGTGTCTTCCTTCAATGCAAATATTGGCAGGATAGCAAATTTTAAAATTAAAATATTTGGTGAACATTTACCAATGTGAAAAGATTAGTATTTCTTGAGATTTCACATGTCTCACATGAGATCTCAAAAGATTTCAGACTAGGACACAATAGTCTTTGGTAGACTACACAGTAATGTTCCTCATCATAAAATTGCTCTGGTTAGTTAGTTCTCATTTGCTAACTTTGAGAATTGTAGGTTAGCTAGAGGTCTATGTGGCTGTGGCTGTCTTAGTATTGAAATCACAAACTTTTGCATTTCAAATACTCTTAGGAAAAGATGTTGAATGTGTTGGACACTGCATAGTGTCATTATAGCCTGAGTAAGTTTACTCAGCTCCAAAAGTGAGCAAAAATCTGCTCAGTCAGGGGCCAAATTCTATTGGGATAAAATATCCTAGCTAATCACGAATTCTTTGTCCATATATGGTCATTATTTACAGAATTGTGAACATAACTGGCTACAGTCCAGTGGTAGGATAAGGCACACATTAAGTTTGTACAAAATAGTATTCTTCACAATACTTTGTGTTGTATATCAATAGTAGGAACCCTGCTTCTTAATTTGCCTTTTTTGTGTATGAATTCCAGCAGTTTTATTGCTGGACCAGCCTTCCATCTCATAGAATGTAACCAATGTTCATTGAATGATAAGTTTGCATTTTCTCCTAAATAAGATTATCTTCTTCTCCTTCTCCTTCTCCTTCATCGTCTCCTCCTCCTCCTCCTCCTCCTCCTCCTCCTCCTCCTCCTTCTTCTTCTTCTTCTTCCTTTTCCTTCTTCTTCTTCTTCTTCTCCTTCTTCATCATCATCATCTTCTTCTTCTTCTTCTCCTTCTTCTCCTCCTTCATCATCATCATCTTCTCCTCCTCCTCCTCCTTCATCGTCGTCGTCTTCTCCTTCTCCTTCATCATCTTCTCCTTCTCCTTCTCCTCTTCCTCCTCCTCCTCCTTCATCGTCTTCTTCTTCTTCTTCTTCATCTTCTTCTTCTTCTTCTTCTTCTTCTTCTTCTTCTTCTTCTTCTTCTTCTTCTTCTTCTCCTTCTCCTCCTCCTTCTCCTTCTCCTCCTCCTTCTCCTCCTCCTCCTCCTTCTTTTTCCTCCTCCTCCTCCTCCTCCTCCTTTTCTTCCTCTCCCTCCTCTCCCTCCTCTTCTTCCCCTTCCCCTTCCCCTTCCCCATCCCTCTTCCTCCTCTGCCCAGGGAGATACAAAGCTATGGCTTTTCTAATGGCCTCAACCATTGTTAATTGATGTTGTTGTATTGTGTCTTTAATGTTGTATCTCCATGTTCTTCTGAGTCTGCCCCATGTTCTTTGACCTTCTCTTCTTTTTTTGCCTATGTCTTGAATAGTATGAAATTCCTAAATAAGATGACAGCATTAAAAAAAAAATATTGTGAAAATGTTTTGGGACTTAAATAGGAGACATTTAAAAGCCAGTCATAAACAGCTTTTCTCCCAATTCCACATAATTCATAGTGCTGAAAACATTCTCTCCCCTGCAGATTCTAATTTTCCGAAGTTCAGCATTCCAAGGCGTATATTTATATTTCCTGCTCCTCCTAAATAACAATATTTCCAAGGCACTGCCATCACTCTTAAAACGTTGCATTTATTTTTCAAGCACCGTTGCTCAGTTGCTCATATTTACCTGGAAAATGCTAAGAATTATATTCTGCAGAGCCTTGTTTACAAATCCTCCCTGCTTTAACTCAGGATGTTTAGGAGTTCCAGAACTGTCCAAGCTTCATTTATCGCTGGAAGGGGTGAAGCTCTTGGCAAAACGTTGCCTAATTCTCGTTCCAAATTCTTTTGTTCACGCCAGCTGACTGTTGCTTTGTGTTCTTCCAAAAAAGACAGCTTTCCTATTATGTAAACGATAATGTGGACAGTTGTGCCGTAGAATTCCTGAACTTTATGTAAGCGTGGATTTGTAGCTTATTAGCACGCCGTGACAGCAAAAGAAAGACGAGGAAAAACGGATTTGTTTTTAATGTAGATGGATAGCTGAGGCTGCCAACTGTTTCTGAATCAGCCCCGTTTTTTGGATGCCGCAGATCTGCTGCACTCATATTTTAAAAGCTGAAAATCGCCACATACGACTCCGTAAGTTGGTAACAAAAATAGCAATCACAGCATAGACTTCATGGTACCATTTCGGTTGGCCGGGTCTGGAATTGTAAACCAACTCAAAGGCTCCAGATTGAGACACTATATTAGATCCTGATTCTTATTATATAATGACTCAGTTATGCAATACAATTCTTTACCTGGAGACTCTTAATTCTTCCCACTAATAAGATTATTAATGTTATCAATTAGTTATTAATTAATTATTAAAATATTATTAATAAGATTAAGATGATTAATAAGACCTTGAGATTCCAGCAGTGGTGTTGGTGGCTCTAACAAGCTATTCAGGTTTGTTAATAGATTGTACAGGTAGTCCTCGACTTACGACTACAATTGAGCCCCAAATTTTTGTTGCTAAGTGAAACATTTGTTCACTGAATTTTGCCCCATTTTACGACCTTTTGTGCCACGGTGAATCCCTGCAGTTGTTAAGGTTAAGTTAACAGGGTTGTTAAGTGAATCTGGCTTCCCCATTCTCAGAAGAGTCACAAAATGTGTTCACAGGATCCTGGGACATTGCCACCGTCATAAATATGAGCTAGTCGCTAAGCATCCGATTTTTGACCATGTGACTATGTGCAACGGTCGTAAGTGTGAAACAAGTCACTTTTCTCAGTCCTATTGCAACTTTGGATGGTCACTAAGGGAACTGCTGCGAGGACTTACCTGTAAATAGATCTTTCAAAGGTGGTTGTACAATAAATTGTTCCATGTTGGTTGTGCATGTTTGTGGAGCAGGTCATAATCCAGACAGGTTTGTGTTCAGGAGTAATGAAAAGTAGAACTTGACTCAATTCTTTATTTAGAATAGAATAGAATCACAGAGTTGGTAGGGACCTTGGAGGTCTTCTAGTCCAACCCCCTGCCCAGGCAGGAAACCTTACACCACTTCAGACAAATGGTTATCCAACGTCTTCTTAAAAACTTCCAGTGTTGGAGCTTTCACAACTTCTGGAGGCAAGTTGTTCCACTGATTAATTGTTCTTACAGTCAGGAAATTTCTTCTTAGGTCTAGGTTGCTTCTCTCCTTGATTAGTTTCCACCCATTGCTTCTTGTCCTGCCCTCAGGTACTTTGGAGAATAGCTTGACTCCCTCTTCTTTGTGGCAGCCCCTGAGATATTGGAAGACTGCTATCATGTCTCCCCTGGTCCTTCTTTTCATTAAACCAGACATACCCAGTTCCTGCAACCGTTCTTCATATGTTTTAGCCTCCAGCCCCTAATCATCTTTTTTTGCTCTTCTCTGCACTCTTTCTAGAGTCTCCACATCTTTTTTACATCGTGGCGACCAAAACTGAATGTAGTATTTCAAGTGTGGTCTTACCAAGGCCTTATAATGTGGTATTAATACTTTACGTGATCTTGATTCTATCCCTCTGTTTATGCAGCCCAGAACTGTGTTGGCTTTTTTGGCAGCTGCTGCACATGGCTGGCTCATATCTAAATGGTTGTCCACTCTTTCATTTATTTATATCTCCTTTATTGTTTTATAAATAAGTCTCCTGGGAGAGGTGGGGTGGAGTGGGCGGGGCCAGCCAGGAGTGGGATTTGGGGGTTCTCTGAACTGCACAGAATCTTAGCTAGAGGTTCTCCTGTAATCCCTGCGAACCCTGCGACTTATGACCATTGTAGCGTTGTTAGTTGCGAAGTCGTGTCCGACCCATCGCGACCCCATGGACAACTTTCCTCTAGGCCTTCTCATCCTGTACCATCCTCTGGAGTCCATTTAAGCTCACGCTGACTGCTTCAGTGACTCCATCCAGCCACCTCGTTCTCTGTCGTCCCCTCCTTCTTTTGACCTCAATTATTCCCAGCATTAGACTTTTCTTCAGTGAGTCCTTCCTTCTCATTAAGTGGCCAAAGGATTTGAGTTTCCTCTTCAGGATCTGGCCTTCTCAAGAGCAGTCAGGGTTGATCTCCTCTAGGACTGATCAGTTGGATCGCCTTGCAGTCCAAGGGACTCGCAGGAGTCTTCTCCAGCACCAGAGTTCAAAGGCCTCAACTCTTTGGCGCTCAGCCTTCCTGATGGTCCAACTTTCACAGCCATACATTACAACTGGGAAAACCATCGCCTTGACTATACACACTTTTGTTGGCATTACATTGTAGCATTACTGTAGCCATTTTATCAAACTCACAACCAGCGTGTATTTACGATGGTTGCAGCATTCTGGGTTCACATGATTGCCATATGTGACCTTCCCAGGCTGTTTTCAAAAGCAATGTCAAAGGGGAAAACCGGGTTTGCTTAATGACCCCATGATTCGCTTGCTAATTCATGGCAAAAAAAATGTGAAAAATCTGGTGTGAAACCACTCAACATCTGCATTGCTTAGTGATGGAAATTCTGGTTCCAGTTATAGCAATAGCACTTAGACTTATATACGGCTTCACAGTGCTTTACAGCCCCCTCTAAGCGGTTTACAGAGTCAGCCTGTTGCCCCCCAACATCTGGCTCCTCATTTTTCCCATCTCGGAAGGATGGAAGGCTGAGTCAACCTTGAGCCTGGTGAGATTCGAACTGCCAAATTGCAGGCAGCCGGCAGGCAGCAGAAGTAGCCTGCAGTACTGGATTCTAACCACTGCGCCACCGCGACTCTTTTGGTCATAAGTCAAGTTCTATTGTTATGCCATCTGTGATTTGTGCCGGAAGGTGCATTTCTGTTGATCAGTTGATTTAAAAACAAAAAACCAGATAAAACAAAAATTGCCTCTGGGAATTACATTCCTAAGTAATAAAGATTCTCCCATTCCTTTTTAGCACCTTCTGGTGAGGCTAAAGGGTGGAGCCCAGATTGGAGAAGGCCGTCTTGAAGTGTTGATGAATGGAGAATGGGGAACCATTTGTGATGACGGGTGGGACCTACCTTCAGCCAGTGTGGCCTGCCGAGAATTGGGCTTTGGAACCGCCAAGGAGGCTATCTTGGGTGCGAGACTTGGACAAGGTAAGCATGTTTAAAATTAGGGAGTTATTAGAAAGGATGAAGGAGTAATGAAGATGGAAAGTCCATGAGCTGAGTCCATGCTTTATATGCAGAAAATCCTATAATCTGATCATTAACATCTTCAGGTTTAGCAAGGGATTGCTTGATAGGTAAAACAATCTGTCTAACTCTTCGGAAAGCTGATGTAACTTAGAATGGCATATCAAGAGAGGGAGGGAATATTCTATAACAGGGGTGTTAAATTCAAGGCCACCCACGTTATTCTTACCTTTTATTTGGTCCCACCCCCAATCTATTGCTGCCTCCTGAGTCCCAGCTGATGACTAGAGGGAAAAAACTGTTTAAACTCTTGCCGCGGGGCTTCAAAGGGCCGTCCTACAGCTGATCAGAGTTAAAAGCAAACAAATGAGTCGGGTCGTAAGTGCGAGGACTGGTTGTAAGTGTGAGGACCTTCCAGAAATGACTCTGACGAGCTAGCCACGCCCACCTAGTCACATGACCTCCAAGCCACACCCACAAAATAAGCCACACCCACAGAACCGGTAGTAAAAAAATTTAGAACCCACCCCTGGGCCACGCCCATCCTGGCCACGCTTACCCCAGCCCCCCCCCAAGGTCAAACACAACCGTGATGCGGCCCTCAATGAAATCCAGTTTGACGCCCCTGTTCTATAAAATCCAGTATCTAAGATTTAAGTTTTTTAATATATATATATATTGTTTTATCAACAAAACTAAAATACAAAACAGGAAAAAAAAATACATCCAGCACTAATAACAAAAGAAAAAAGATTGGTGTACAAAAAAAAAAAGAGAGAGAGACGGGGGGGAAATGACACAAGTTTCAAAAAAATGTAACATTAATCCAGAGGTGGGTTTCAGCAGGTTCTGACCAGTTCTGGAGAACCAGTAGCAGAAATTTTGAGTAGTTCAGAGAACCGGTAGTAAAAATTATGACTGGCCCCGCCCCCATCTATTTTCTGCCTCTCGAGTCCCAGTTGATTGGGAGGAAATGGGGATTTTGCAGTAACCTTCCCCTGGATTGGGGAGGAAATGGAGATTTTACAGTATCCTTCCCTTGGAGCGGGGAGGGAATGGAGACTTTACAGCATCGTTCCCTGCCCACACCCCCAAGCCACGCCACGCCCACCAAGCCACGCCCACAGAACCAGTAGTAAAATAATTTGAAACCCACCACTGCATTAAATTCAGCCTGGCTGGATGCTGGGGGAAAAAATTCTGCCATGGTAGCATCAAAGCAATCTTGATGGCACAAAAGAGTCAAGGGATCTAAATAAACCATGAAGTAACTCCAAAACGGTGTGGTTTGAGGAAAGAAAAGGAAAATAATTCATGTATGAGACAGACACTGCAGCTCTCCGGAATCTTAAAAATGTGAGCTTACAGCCAAATTGCACGGAACGGGCTCTAATATATATTTAATTGTGGTTACCGCTACGGAAGCGTTAGCATCACATGAAAAAAAGCCTCACTGCAACGTGATGGGGCTGGAGCAGGTTGGCACATTACACAAGGAGAAGCTAGACGTTTTGAAAGACTGCTTCGGTTTTCTTGTGTTTTCTTTACGGAAAATTGGAGATTGCTAGGAAAAACAGCTAGCCTTGCTCCGAAGTATATTAATAAAGCAGGTGGTACCACCTCTAGCGAAATATGTTTGCATTTTTTTTCCTGTCTGCTTCAGAAAATATATATGTATACCGTGTTCCCCTGAAAATAAGACCCTGTCTTATATTTTTTTGAACCCTGAAATAAGCGCTTGGCCTTATTGCCATGAGCTCAAAAGCCCGATTGGGCTTATTATCAAGGGATGTCTTATTTTGGGGTGGGGGAACAGGGTACCTATCTATTTATCTCTATCATCTCTATTTATTTATTTATATCTATTTGTCTCTGTCTCTTATCTGTCTATCTATCTATCTATCTATCTATCTACCGTGTTCCCCTGAAAATAAGACCCTGTCTTATATTTTTTTGAACCCTGAAATAAGTGCTTGGCCTTATTGTGATGCGCTCAAAAGCCCAATGGTGTTTATTAACAGGGGATGTCTTATTTTGGGGGAAACAGCGTATCTATCTATCTGTCTATCTATCTATCTATCTATCTATCTATCTATCTATCTATCTACCGTGTTTCCCCGAAAATAAGACCCTGCCTTCTATTTTTTTGAACCCTGAAATAGTTATCTATCTATCTATCTATCTATCTATCTATCTATCTATCTATCTACCTACCTACCTACCTACCTACCTACCTACCTACCTACCTACCTACTTACCTACCTACCTACCTACCTACCTACCTACCAACTGTGTTTCCCCGAAAATAAGACCCTGCCTTCCATTTTTTTGAACTCTGAAATAGTTATCTATCTATCTATCTATCTATCTATCTATCTATCTATCTATCTATGTACCTACCGTGTTTCCCCGAAAATAAGACCCTGCCTTCTATTTTTTTGAACTCTGAAATAATTATCTATTTATCTATCTATCTATCTATCTATCTATCTATCTATCTATCTACCTACCTACCGTGTTTCCCCGAAATAAGACCCTGCCTTCTATTTTTTTGAACTCTGAAATAATCTATCTATTTATCTATCTATCTATCTATCTATCTATCTACTATCTATCTAACTAACTATCTATCTATACCTACCTACCGTGTTTCCCCAAAAATAAGACCTGCCTTCTATTTTTTTGAACCCTGAAATAAGCGCTTGGCCTTATTGCCATGCGCTCAAAAGCCCGATTGGGCTTATTATCGGGATGTCTTATTTTGGGGAAAACAGGGTATCTATCTACCTATCTCTATCATCTATATTTATTTATTTATATCTATTTGTCTCTGTCTCTTATCTGTCTCTATCTATCTATCTATCTATCTATCTATCTATCTACCGTGTTTCCCCGAAAATAAGACCCTGTCTTACATTTTTTTGAACCCTGAAATATGCACTTGGCCTTATTGCCATGCGCTCAAAAGCCCGATTGGTCTTATTATCAAGGGATGTCTTATTTTGGGAGAAAACAGGGTATATTGTTTGGAGAAATGTAGATGACTGCTCAATGAGAACAGCAACAAAATTAACTTTTTCCGTCTTCTAAACTTTGTTCTTGAAACTTGGAAAACCATGAAAGGTCTTTCAGTTTAATTTATTAGTCTGTTCAAGCACACAGGATCGCATGAACAGGCCTCTATAATTGTTTTACAGTACTAACCTTCAATAATAAGACTAATAAGTTAGGATGCTACTGTGATAGTTGGATTAATTCCACAGGGTCTTGGCTATAATATGATCCTAAAATTTCTCTGGTGTCTAAATCAATACTGAAAACTAACTTACTACTATATGTACTGTACCAGGGGTGGGTTCTATTTATCTTTACTACCAGTTCACAGCAGGGCTGCGCAGAAGCCTTTTGATGACGTCGGGGCTGGTGGGCGGAGCCTCTGGCCGGTTTTACTACCGATTCTATAGAACCGGTGCGAACCGGGGGCAACCCACCACTGTACTGTACTCTTGAAAAGGACACAGAAACTGTAAAATGTAGCAGCTATGTTCCCAACCGATGCAAGAATCACATATGTTTACATCAAAATATCAATGCTGATTGCCAGTTGTTTACCAAATGTAATTTTATTTATTCAATTTCTAATAGCCTTCCATCTCAGTCCAATTACTCTACAACTGACTCTGAAATTGACTAATTTTAAATCTTGATAATGGCATTGATCTCAGGGTCTGATTGTCCAAAGCAGAGGTCTCCAACCTTGGCAACTTTAAGCCAGGAGGACTTCAACTCCCAGAATTCTGGGGGTTGAAGTCCGCCAGGCTTAAAGTTGCCAAGGTTGGAAACTTCAGGTATAGAGAACCGCCTTTCCCATTGGAAACTTCTCCAATCACTAAGATCAGCAAGAAATATTCTTTTGATGTAGCCACTGCTCTCAGAAGCCCATAGTTGTGGAAAAACTAAGAATGTTTTGAAATATACCGTATTTTTCGGAATATAAAATGCACCGGATTATAAAATGCACCTTAGTTTTTGGGGAGGAAAATAAGAAAAAAGTTGATTGGCAGGTGGATTGGCCTCCCAGAATACCCCCAATCAGCTGTTCTCAGAGGTGAATTTTAGCAACAGGTTCCGTTTCAGAAAATAAAAAATTCTGTCTCTGAAAGGCTCTGAAACAGCTTCAGAAAAAAAAGTCTCTGAAGCTGTTTGGGGGTTTCTTTTTTGAAGCTCTGTTTGGGGGCTTCTTTTCTGAAGCTTTGTTTCTGATGCTTTTTTCAGCCTCTGAAACCTCCGTTTGAGAAGCTGGGCGGAGCTACATTCGGAGTATAAAATGCACCCAGATTTTCACCCTCTTTTTTGGAGGAAAAAGGTGCATTTTATACTCGGAAAAATACAGTATTCCACTTAGGAATTATACTTTCCCCTCTCTCAGTGTGTAGAAAACCTATAAAGACAAAGCATTTTTGCTAGTCTTGTGATAATTAAATGATTTGATGTAGGAGAAGGAGAGGCAGAACCTGGGGCGGAGTCAAGAGAGGAATCTGCCGGGAATCATTATGTTGCCGCAAGCAATCCAATTCCAGCTCCTCTCAAATTCCATCAATTTAGTGTTGACCATTAGTTGACTCGATTCTTGTGTAATAAATCAATAAATAATAAATAAGCAATAAAGCAATGAATCAGTAAAACTGGAACTTAACATGCGGTCCTAATTCTTCATGCCTGACATTTTGGAACCTATTAAATTATTAGTTTTTAATGTGCTATTTTAGTTTTTAGAGTCTGTATTTTTTAATCATTATTATTATTATTTACTTTATTCATTAAACATGAAACTCAGTCAACTGAACATTCAAAAGTGCATCATCATCATCATCATCATCATCATCATCATCATCATTATTATTATTATTATTATTATTATTATTATTCTTTGGTTTCTTCTGCCTTGAATATAAGCTGGCAGAGTATAGAGGACAGACAACACTGTTTGTTTGCTAGCACCCTAAGAGTCCAGTTCTATTTGCATCTTTTGAACTTAATGGGAATATTTAATAAACATGCATAATATCAGACACTAATAGATTTACTAGAGAAAATGCATGAATATTTATTTGTGTATTTATTTAGGTAGTTGTAGGCTGTCTAGTTTCATCCCAACTTTGGACAGTGTTCAACATGAATATTCATTAAAAGAATATAATGCAAAACAATGCAAAACAAATGCGTGGAAAAATACCAGCTCTATCTGTATGGAGATTCTCAGTCATCCAGATTTTGGTTGTTCCCAAAGATGCTTTTTCAAGAGGCAACTGGACTTTTTGGGTTTTTCTTTGAAGACATTTTGCTTCACATCCAAAAAGCTTCCAGGGGCCTGAGTGGCTCAGTAGACTAAGGCACGGTGATTAACATTCAGCTGCCTGCAATTACTGCAAGTTCAAATCTCACCAGGCTCAAGGTTGACTCAGCCTTCCATCCTTTCAAAGGTAGGCGAAATGAGGACCCAGTTTGTGGGGGCAATAAGATGACTTTGTATAAATATATACAAAAGTATGAAGGCTATTGCTTAACACATTGTAAGCCGCCCTGAGTCTCCGGAGAAGGGCGGCGTATAAATTAATTAAAAAAAAAAAAAAAAGCTTCTTCAGCTTTTGCCTCTCATCCAAGAGCTGAAGAAGCTTCTTGGATGAGAAGCGAAATGTCTTCAAAGAAAAACCAGAATGTCCAATTGTCTCTTGAAAAAGCACCTTTGGGAACACTGGCTCTACTAGATTGATATCCCATCAGAGGTCCATGGTTTACTTTAACCCAAGACTTGGGAGAAGAGCTGGATTTTAAGAGCTTATTTCACTGGGGTTGCATTACAAAAGGGAACCATAAGCCATTCTACCAGACTTAATATTTTTTCTCTAATTTTGTAGTGCTATGATGTCCATTTAAAGTTCAAAGATTTCTTGGAAATCCTTTTATAACCCTCTGTTTCCTTGCAAAAGTAAAAAATAATGTTAGAAATCTTCCAATAATCCATGTTTATTTGCAATCTTTCTATAGTCCTACGAAAGAATTATCCTGATCCCTGTTGAAATGTCAGACTTGTGGGCAAAAATAGTAAAAAAAAAAATGCCAGTTGCATATTTTGCTTCCAATTCTCCAAATGAAATTTAAGAAATGATGGAGAAATGGAAAATTGGCCTTCGTTCTGCTTCTAACAATTGAAAGAAAGAAAGAAAGAAAAATATTGGAAACAGTATTTCAAAGAATAAAAACAAAATTAACTGCAGAAAAACTTTATTAAAGCCCTGGATATTTTTAACTCAGAAGTTTCCTGGGCCTCTATCTGGGTTTGAGAATATCTGGGCAATTGAGATGTTCAGTCTATAAATTGTCCCAAAGGTGCTTTTTTTTCAAACGGCAACAGGATTTTCTCGGGGTTTTTTTCCTTTGAAAACATTTAGCTGCTCATCCAAGCTTCTTCGGTTGAATTGAGAATCTCTATAGACAGTCTCTAGGGACGCGGTGGCTCAGTGGCTAAGACATTGAGCTTGTCGATCGAAAGGCCGGCATTTCAGCGGTTCGAATCCCTAGTGCGGCGTAACAGGATGACCTCACGTTAATTGTCCCAGCTTCTGCCAACCTAGCAGTTCAAAAGCACATAAAAAATGCAAGTAGAAAAATAGGGACCACTTTTGGTGGGAAGATAACAGCGTTCCGTGCTCCTTTGGCGTTGAGTCATGCTGGCCACATGACCACATGGGGGAAAGCTTTTATTAAGCAGAACGAAAAAGCAGGAGAAAACACAACAACATTGGCTTACCACATTTAATGAAGTCATATGTTTTACTCTCTGAAAGGGGGATTGTAAGATCTTCACATTTCTTAATTGAAGAACTATGCAGATATGTTGACTTTAACTGCTATAGTCACCAAATTAGGGTAGTTTCCATCAGAACATGTAGAATATGTACTTCAGATTTATTGTGGGGAAATGAGCTTATGAGCGTCCCTCTCTTTTTAAAGGCATTGGCCCTATCCATCTCAATGAAGTGGACTGCACAGGCTTTGAAAAGTCTATTACAGACTGTAAATTCAGCAAGGAGATCAGGAGCTGCACCCATGAAGAAGATGCTGGTGTGAAATGCAACATCCCAGCAATGGGCTTCCAAAACCAGGTGAGATCATTGGGAGTATGATGAGAGAATTCTTCTCCTTCTCCTTCTCCTTCTCCTTCTCCTTCTCCTTCTCCTTCTCCTTCTCCTTCTCCTTCTCCTTCTCCTTCTCCTTCTCCTTCTCCTCCTCCTCCTCCTCCTCCTCCTCCTTCTTCTTTTTCTTCTTCTTCTTCTCCTCCTCCTCCTTCTCCTCCTTCTCCTCCTCCTCCTTCTTCTCCTTCTCCTCCTTCTCCTTCTCCTCCTCCTTCTTCTCCTCCTCCTTCTCCTCCTCCTCTTCCTCCTTCTCCTCCTCCTCCTCCTCCTCCTCCTCCTCCTCCTGTAGAATGCACTGTGCACTTCATCATAAGAGCTGGAACATGGAAATATAATCCTTACTTTTATCCCCCTTGACCTCCAGTTGAAGAGACCACCATCAAAGATATAATCTATTCTACTTTTGAGATCATTGGTTTAATTTGGGCCAGCCACAATCTCTAAGACCAACCTACCCCACCTTGTTGTTAGAACAAAAACACGAGGAGAGTCAACCCAAAGGCAACTGGACTTTCTTGATTTTTCCTTTGAAAGCATTTTGCTTCTCATCCAAGAAGCTTCTTCGGTTCTGAAGAACCTCTTCAGTTCAGAACTGAAGAAGCTTCTTTCATGAGAAGCAGGATGTTCTCAAAGAAAAAAAACCAAGAAAATCCGTTTGCCTTTTAGAAAAATCACCTTTGCGACAACCATAACTTAGATCAGGGGTGTCAAACTCGATTTCACTGAGGGCCGCATCAGGGTTGATTGCATTGTGGGGGACCACAGGAGGCGTGGCTGAAGTGGGCATGGTCCACTCAATGTCACTTGTGTCGGGGGCACCTGTGTGCTCTGCCAGTGAGAATGGGCTCCCGACAGTGTTGGGTTGCCCCCGGTTTGAACCGGTTCGCATGAACCGGTAGTAAAACCGGTGGGAAGCTCTGCCCACCAACCCCAACGTCATCAGGAAGCTTCTGTGCATGTGCACGCCGCCCCATTGCGAACCGGTAGTAAAGGTAAGTAGAACCCACCCCTGGCTCCCAAGTTCTGTTTTCACTGGCAGAGGGTTGCAGGAGGCTGTCACAGCCAAAAACGGAGCTCGGGAACCCATTTTCACTGGCAGAGGCACTGCGGGCCAGTCCTTCACTATTTCCACGGTGGCCCTGCGGGCCAGATCTAAGCACCCCACAGGCTGAATCTGGCCCACGGGCCTTGAGTTTGACACCCCTAACTTAGATGATTGAGAATCTCCGTAGACAATGAGGAGAGTTAATTGCTATAGTAGCAGTGATAGTAGAAGTAGCGGTTTTCTTCAGGACCAGTCTTACCGTCAGTCAGAGCAAAGGAGCTGGGGGGTCTTTTGATGTGGCTTGTTTTTATGTCTTGGTAGCATGATCACTGCGTGTGACGTCAGCTACTAACCCATGGGGTCAAATTCGACTTTGAGCACATTGTAATATTTTTAAACCCATGTGCAAATGGAGCTAAAACCGTATAAAGTGCAGCACACAAACAGATGTTAAGAGGACCAAAAAACACAAATAGCCTCCTCAAATAGCCGCCGTGACCTGACAAGGGTCATATGAATCAGACTTTTGGAGACTCCTTAAAATGTTTACTGAATTCGGGTTTTTGAACAGGAGGCGCTTTTCCTCAACCTTCCATATTGAGGTCATCTTCAGACTGCTGGCTCAGAGTCCCTACTGGCAGGCAGTTCAGTGAATTTGTAAGATTTACAACCCAGGATTTGGCCAAACTCCACATGTTCCATTCAGTTTAACATCTGTGTTCTCTTAAAATCCATGAGCGCAACATAATTTGAGAAACATCCTAGCCTTTCTCCAAATAACTTGCTTCATAGTTTTTAACCAACCTTCTTCTTAATACTTTCATTAAAACAATTACTCCGCCTTGAATATCAGTTGGGGTTTATGCTCAGGCATTACTTAATGTCAGGGTTAGAGCCCATATGTAACCTCGGTTTTGAGAACCTCAATCCCAAGGGAGGCTTTTGCCAACTTTTTTTTTTAAAAAAATAATCTTTATTTACATTTTCCATTAAAAAGAGAAAACAACACATCATATAAATAACACACAAAACACAAGACAATACAATACAACACAAAAGAAAAGAAAAGAAAAAAGAAAAGAAAAGAAAAGAAAAGAAAAGAAAAGAAAAGAAAAGAAAAGAAAAGAAAAAACAGGCATATCTCTATGTAGTACCTTAATAACCTAATATTCGGTACTATGTTCCCATATTATATTCCGGAGAAGACAGAACAACTTATATACCTTTATACGTCGATTAGGTCTATCCGACCTAACTTGATGCCTTCTTGATGGACTACAGTTCAGAACAATATCCTGATAACTTAGAGACAGTGTGAATTATAATTCAATACATCTGAGGAATATCAGGTTAGAGTAGAACAGGGTTGTCAAATTTATCAGAGTTTGTTGCAGAAATGAAATCTAGAAAGCACACACAGGTAAACTGATTCAGCAGGATTCATTAACTTCTTTATATACATATAATACATGAAGATAAATGTACAATACCAATATAGATTCTTCTTCAACGTAGTAGCAGTTACAAGCAAAACACAAGGCAGGAGAGAACAGTTAATTTCATTTCAGCAGAGCAGACTAGTTTCAGTTTATTTTATTTTATTTTTATTATTTATTTTATTAATCATATTTCTATGCCACCCACTCTCCGAGGACTCTGGGCGGCTTACAACAATCAACAGTATACTAAATAGCATATTGCCCCCAACAATCTGGGTCCTCATTTTACCCACCTCGGAAGGATGGAAGGCTGAGTCAACCTTGAGCCTGGTGAGATTTGAACTGCTGATCTGCTGAACTAGCAGTCAGCTGAAGTAGCGACAGCACTCTAACCACTGCGCCACCTTGGTTTCTCTGCACAGACTCAGCAGCTGCAGGGCTAAGCCATGCCCAAACTTCTTACTTAAGTTTTTGTTTCCAAAAGAGCCCTCATTGGCTGACCCAGTTGCTATGCCTATTCATTGGCTGACCTATTCCAGTCTATGAATATTCATGTGACAAAATTCGATTTCATTGAGGGCCGCATCAGGGTTGTGTTTGACCTCGGGGGGGCTAGGATGGGTGTGGCCAGGGTGGGCATAGCCAGTTTCACATCACTCATGCTGGGGGCACCTGTGGTGGCCCAAGCATTCTGCCAGGCTCCATTTTTGGCTGTGATGGCCTCCTGCAGCTGGTCCTTTGCTGTTTCCAGGGTGGCCTCAGGGCCCAGATCCGGCCCCTGTGGGCCAGATCCGGCCCCCACGTCTTGAGTTTGAAACCCCTGGAATAGGACTCTTCTAATCTAGACTGAGTAAACATAGTACATTGTTGTCAAGAACTGGTAGGAAAAAAATGAGCTCCTATTCCACCAGATAAAATTGTTCATGTCTCAAAACTTCATCCTTCATTAGTATGATTTTTAGAGGTTCCTGGGAAAACCTGGGTACCATCAAATCTAGCATAGCCCAGTACATCTTTCATAGTGTGTAGGATATATCTGTATCATGTTGGATAGCTTATATATAAAAATTATTTTGGAGTTCTGGACTTCCAAGAATAAGGAGATAGGCTAAGGGTATGGTGGGTTGCCATATGCTGTTGATTATTTAAGATCATCTTAATGGACTTAGGAGTAGAAGGCTAGAGTTTTTCTAGTAGGATTTATTACAGCCGAGATCTTGCTAGGAATTGTGGGAGTAATAGAATAGAATATAGCTGGAAGGGACCTTGGAGGTCTTCTAGTCCAGCCCTCTGCTCAAGCAGGAGAACCTATCCCATTTCAGACAAGTGGGCTGTCCAGTCTCTTCTTAAAAGCCTCCAGTGATGAAGCACCTACAACCTCTGAAGGCAAGCTGTTCAATTGGTTAATTGTTCTCACTGTTAGGAAGTTTCTCCTTAATTCCAGGTTGCTTCTGTCTTTGATTATAATCTGAAAATATTTCATGAGGCTGGGGAAGGCTGCTGTATAAATTGATCATCAGATATTATACCAGGTATCATCTATAGACTACAGGTGTTATTATTCACAGACCTCTGAGCCAATTTGGTATAGAGAACCAGTTTGGTGCAGTGGTTGAAGTGCCGTTCTATAAACCAGGAGACTGTGAGTTCTAGTTCTGCTTCAGGCATGAAAACTTGCAGGGTGATTTTGAGTTTCTCTCTCTCTCCCTCTGCCTCCCTCCCTCTCCCTCTCTCTCTCCCACTCCCTCCCTCTCCCTCTCTCTCCCTCTCCCTTTCCCTCTCCCCCTTTCTCTGTCTGCCTTTCCCTCTGCCTTTTCCCTCTCTCCCTTTCTCTCTCCCACTCCCTCCTCTCTCCCTCTCTCTCCCTTCCCTTTCCCTCTCCCCCTTTCTCTGTCTGCCTTTCCCTCTGCCTTTCCCTCTCTCCCTTTCTCTCTCCCTCTCCTGCTCTCTCTCCCTCTCCCTCCTCTCCCACTCTCTCTCTGTCTCCATCTCCCACTCCCCCTCTCTCCCTCTGCCTCTCCCTTTCCCTCTCCCCCCCTCTCTCTCCCTTTACCTCCCTCTCCCTCTCCCCCCTCTCTCTCCCTCTCCCTCTCTCTCTCCCTCTCCATCCCCCATTCCCTCTCTCCCTCTGTCCCTCTACCTCTCCCTTTCCCTCCCCCCCTCTCCCCCTCTCCCTCTCCCTCTCTCAGCCAAACCCATCTCGCAGGGTTATTGTGAGGAAAATAGGAGGAGGCAGGAGTATTCGGTTCATTTGCTGCCTTGAGTTAGTCATAAAGTAATAAAAGCGGAATAATTTTTTAAAAAAAATTATGAATAATTTTTTGTCCTGGACCTGAAACGTGGCTCAAGACATCATCTTGATCATGCCGATGGAAGATATCGTTGGGCAGCGGCAACTCAAAATGTGGAGGTAGCCTGAGCTATGTCAATGGGATTCTTTTTTCTGCAATTCAAAATTTTTAAAAGTTTTAAACCATCTAAAGTTATTTCCAAGTCAACTGGAGGCAATCCACATTCAAAAGCCAGCCGGATAATTTTGGTAAACCGACTTGCCAAACATGCCTTTGTGACACAACTCGTTTCACTAACCTGGTTTTCTGGTTGTCCTCTATGAGCAGAAAATGCAACTTTCTGCCTCTTTCATGGAGTGAAATTGGAGTGTGACTTTTATAGTTGTCAATTATTCTCCGCAGGTACGCTTGAGTGGTGGCCGCACACCTTACGAAGGCCGGGTGGAAGTTCTCCAGGAACGCAATGGCACCTTCATATGGGGGTCCATCTGCGGCGAAGGATGGAATATAATGGACGCCATGGTGGTTTGTCGCCAGCTGAATCTTGGCTATGCTAACCATGCATTCCAGGTACGAGATTTGTTTTAATTCCACGGGTGAAAAACAAATTCCCGTTGTTATTCGTTGCTCTTCGGAATTCAGAAGTTCTTATCTAAAGACGTATTCTTTGAATTTTCAGGCCAGGATTTACAACATACAAATTTCTTGTTTTCCTGGCATCCTATACAAGTTTCTTCTGTGTCTATCCTTCCGCTTCTCTCTGCTTTAGCCTTCCTTCTCCATAGTCCCATATTTCTGTGTAATCTACTTCCTCTCTTTGCTTCCTGTTGCCTTTGAAAAGGTATGAAAGAAAGCTGAAACAGATGTTGAGTGGCCCTCGTTTGAGTCACATGAAATTGGGCTCTAATTTGAGGCTATCAAAGAAATGTGTTTTTACAGCCCAGAATAACCAGGAGCTACACTTACCAGTCAAAGATCAGTAACATGAAGAAGAGGAATTATGATAGAATTGTGATAAATTAGATACAAGATGACTCTATTTCTTTTGTAGAAGCTGAGTATAATTTAATGAATTATAAGTATATATATAGGTCTTTGGTTATTCGGGTTTTCTCCCGCGTAAAATTGGAAGTGTCTTGGCGACGTTTCGACGAAGTCTCATTCGTCATCTTCAGGCTGGTGTTTTCGGCTTCGTGCTTCTAGGAGCAATTGTGATCGCAGCTGTACTGCAGGCTACTTCTGCCGGCTGACTACAATTTGGCAGTTCGATTCTCACCGGCTCAAGGTTGACTCAGCCTTCCATCCTTCCGAGGTGGGTAAAATGAGGACCCCGATCAGAGGTGGGTTTCAGCAGGTTCTGACCAGTTCTGGAGAACCAGTAGCGGAAATTTTGAGTAGTTCGGAGAACCGGCAGTAAAAATTCTGACTGGCCCCTCCCCCATCTATTCTCTGCCTCCTGAGTCCCAGCTGATTGGGAGGAATGGGGAGTTTGTAGTATCCTTCCCCTGGATTGTGGAGGGAATAGAGATTTTACAGTATCTTTCCTCTGGAGTGGGGTGGGAATGGAGATTTTACAGTATCCTTCCTCTGAAGTCAGGTGGGAATGGAGATTTTACAGTAACCTTCTCCTGCAACGCCCACCAAGCCATGCCCACCAAGCCATGCCACGTCAACCAAGCCACACCCACAGAACCGGTAATAAAAAAATTTGAAACCCACCACTGACCCCGGTTGTTGGGGGCAATATGCTGACTCTGTAAAGAGATGGCTGTAAAACACTGTGAAGCAGTATATAAGTTCAAGTACTGCTACTATTGCTATAATTTGAGGCTCCACTTAATGTTCCATGGAGCATCAGTATTTATTTTTGGAGCATTGTGGCGCATAAACACAAGGATTGCTTCAAGACACCTGATCAAAAGTTCATCAGGTCCCAATATTTTTATTTGTAGTCACTGACATACTTCAAACAAAGAATGATGATGACAATCTACTTTGATCATTAGACCCCTGGTATATGAAATATGAATAATAATAATAATAATAATAATAATAATAATAATAATAATAATAATAATAGAGTTGAGCGACTGTGGAAAAAGAAATCGTGTGTTGTCCCGATTGTAATTGGAGCCCTTGGAGCAATACCCAAAGGGCTACCCCCCTATTTAGAAATTCTAAATTTGCCGGACTTGAACATTTTGACTCTACAAAAAACCACCTTACTCGGAACAGTTTACATCCTCCGACGATACCTTAACAGTTCCTAGGTCCTTGGTTAGGACTCGAGCTGCTGAGCTATTAACCAGCCTCAAAGGCTGTGAATCTCACTAAAGATTAACCAATAAATAATAATAATAATAATAATAATAATAATAATAATAATAATAATAACTATTGTCATTGTATGTGTATACACAATATACCCATACAACGAAATTCACTTAACACCCAAAGACCAGGTCCAACGCACATAACAATCCTCGGGCCTGGTGGCTCAGCAGACTAAAAGCATTGTGATTAACACCAGCTGTCTGCAATTACTGTAAGTTCAAATCTCACCAGGCTCAAGGTTGACTCAGCCTTCCATCTTTTCAAAGGTAGGTGAAATGAGGACCCAGATTGTGGGGGCAATAAGCTGACTTTGTATAAATATACAAAAGTATGAAGGCTATTGCTTAATGCATTGTAGGCCGCCCTGAGTCTTCGGAGAAGGGTGGCATATAAATCAAATTAAAAAAAAAACACACATTCCCACCCACCACAATTCCCCACCCCTAAACCACCCAAACATCCACACAACAGACCAAGTAATGCTATCCAACAGCTCACTGATGGTGGCCCTTTAGTTCGTTGTTGAGTGCAATTATAGCTCTGGGATAAAAACTATTCAGAAAACGTGCGGTCCGAGTTTTAGTTGTTCTGTATCTTCTGCCAGAAGGCAACAGTCCAAAAAGATTGTAAGCAGGATGGGAAGATTCACCATGTTTTTATAGATACATTTAAAAAAAAAAAAATCATACTGAGTCAGATCAAAAGGTTCCTTCCTGACATTTTTCATCTCCTGGGCTAATTGTAGCTCAAAAACTCATCCTCTCAGCTATAGAATCTTACTGAGTGAAGTGAATGCCCAAGTAAGCCACACTAAGGAAAGGCGAAATATAACTCTAATAATAAAATGGCATATTTATGTTTTGTCTTTTCTCTGGAATGCTCAAGCTATGCATGGAACACCTCCCTTAATTTTAATTTAGCCTCGAATTGTACTCTTTAATCATGTGGCAGAAAGGAGAAACATTAAGGTGAAAACTTTCAACTACGCTATTGAATTCCATCTGATTTGAATTACTTTTCCGTTCAGTTGATTTAGTCTTAGTCCTGGACACCCAACATTTTGGAGACCATTTTCAGCCAGATGTCTGTTGAGTCAAAAAAAACATTCATTGCTCTTGTTAAAGCCAAGCAGTCGTGGCTGAAACCACACAGCACAGTAGCTAGGCAGCAAGAAGGAAAGTGAAGTTACAAATCGAAGGCCCCTGAAAGATATTTAAGATGACATCATTTGCAACCATTGAGAAATGGACCACCCATATTTCAGGGGGTACAGCTGGAGAGCTTATCTTCTCTACACAGTATTTTCGGCTGCAAATTCGTTAAGAGACAGTAGCCCTACAGGTGGCATCTCCCTCCCGCATGTCTGGCAAAGATGTTCCCTAACACTACACAGGATTGTTGGAAATGCAGATCACACAAAGGGACATACTATCACATGTGGTGGTCCTGCCAAAAGGCAAAAAAATTTTGGAAAATGATTCAAAAACAATTAGAGGAAATTACGACCCAGAGAGTGCCATTAAAACCAGAAACATACAGTACCTATTAGGAATATTAACAAATCACTATGAAAAAGAAATACAATATTTGATAATCCATATCCTGACAGCAGCAAGAATCACATTCGCGCAAATGCGGAAATTAGAAGATACGCCATTAGAGGATAAAATAATATAAAAAGTAATGGAATGTGCAGAGATGGATAGGCTTACCAAAGAAATACAAGAAAAGGAAGACACAGAGTATTATCTAGTTTGGCAACGATGGTATGAATGGTTAGAGAAAAGGAAAATGAAATAAAAAATAATTAGTAAGATAGGGAATACCAACTAAAGAAACAAAAATCAAGAAATAAACTTAAAATATTGTTATATAAGGAAAGATGTAGATATATATATAGAGAGAAATATAGAATACCGAAGTAACTTTCTTCTTTCTTAAGGCTCAAGTTGCAAGACTTGATTTAAATATATAGTTTGCTTATGTTGTGTATTGTATGTATGTTTTTGTTAGTCTAAAAAGAGAGAGAGAGAGAGAGAGAGAGAGAAAGAGAGAGAGAAGCCCTGCTGAAATAGCAATTATATCTGAAGTCCTATTTCTGCTGGCTTACTGTGATCAATTTTGATGCATTACGTCAGTGGTTCCCGCTCTTTCCTTCACCACAGACTCCTTTAAATATCTTTTGTGGCCACGGACCCCCAAGACTTAATTCAAGATTTAAATCATAACATTTTTTTCAAGCTTTCATGGACCCCCTCTGACCACAGGTTGAGAACCATTGAGATTATATGGATCCTGCAGATACATCACAGTTGCATTCCCATCTTTTTCCCAAGCTAAATTTTTATAAGTTAAAGATTAAAGAAAGGAAAGAGATAACACTGCTGTCTGGGAAAGTCTAAAGAGGACAAGCCATGTGAGAGGAAGCTAGCTAGATGGGGAGAAGTAGAAAAGGAAAGAGGTGGGAGGTAATTGAATGGAAATGCAAGGGGACCCCGCACCCCAAAAAAGCATTTTATCCAGGGCCTTAGATTGGTAGGTAGGTAGCTGAGATAGATTATATATACACTGCTCAAAAAAATAAAGGGAACACAAGCAGAAGACATCCGAGATCTGAATGAATGAAATAGCCTTATTAAATACTTTGTTCGTTACATACAGTAGTTTTGTGTTCCCTTTAGTTGTTTGAGCAGTGTATAAACTACTGTGTGTAAAGAACAAAGTATATATATACATACACACACATATATACATACAGAGAGAGAGAGAGAGAGGGAGAGGGAGAGAGAGAGAGAGATACTGGTAGCTAGGTAAGTAGGTAGATGATAGAGATAGATAGATAGATAGATAGATAGATAGATAGATAGATAGATAGAGTAGGTAGGTAGGTAGGTAGGTAGGTAGGTAGGTAGATGATAGAGATAGATAGATAGATGAGAGAGAGAGAGAGAGAGAAACAGACAGACAGATAGACAGATAGGATGAGTGAGTGAATGAGTGAGTGAGTGAGTGAGTGAGTGAGTGAGTGAGTGAGTGAGTGATAAATTGGTGGCATGAAAGAGAGAGTGTATCAGTTTCATAGGAAAATGGCTCTCTGCAGAAAATGGTTGGGAAATTTATTTTTTCATGAGGCTCGCCATGCTTGACCTGTGATTTGTTGCAACTCACTTCATCTCCTCCTTCAGCCTTTCCCCGGGAAATAGGTTGGGCCAGCACACAAGCCAAAAAGGGAAGAG